GTGATATTGTTGTTCATGTATGTTCATGATGAAATTTTCTTTTATTGCTGTAATTAATTTATAGCATTAACAAGATGACCCGTTGAATTCATTTTGGGAGCGATGACTGATTGAATGTATTTTTAGTCCAGTGCCTGCATACAAGTTTAGTATTGACCAAGTTCAGAGGCTGTCATACGTGGATCAACTTATGACCAACTTATGACTCAGGGTGCGAATTACGGGGGGGTTTGGGGGGGTCTGACCTACTTTAAAAATTGTAACATGGGATGGGGCCCTGGGTGTGGTTTGAAAATAAATACTTATAAAACAAATAACTCTGGTGTTACATTTCTTTATGTAACTATTGGTTTTACACAACACTTATGGACGGTGCCTCCCTTTTATGTAGTAATTTCACGTTTAATTCCAAATATCCCATTAAAATGGGATCTTTTAATTAACTGTTGTAAACTCAAACACAACAAATGTGAATGGGAGAAATTATATACAATTTACTTAAGTAAACTTGAAATTAAAAGTATTCAGTATAGACAATTAAATATGAAACTAAAATAAAAGCAAATAGTTAAACAATATACACTATAAAAAGCAGTTTCAATATAAACCCTCTGTTCAACTGACACCAAGATAAATGAAATTGAAAATCAGTAGAAGATCTATGACATTAAATTAAGTGGGCCAACACACATACATCTGTCTCTTGTTCACTCAGTCTTAAACAAAATAAATTGTTGCAGGCCTGGGACGTGGATTGAGAGTGTGGTGGCCAAAAACAAAAACGGTCCTCTACACTTTACAAGCAACACAAAATGTGTTTAACTGCACGTACTTTATAGTACTCACGACCTGAGAGGCTGTATCTAGTCCAGTGACCACGAACAACAGGCACAATTGTACAGGGCGGCAAGTTCAGCAAATACGGGATCCAGTGAAGAGTATTCAGCGTCACAACTCGTCAAAGAAAACTTCTTTTTCCATGGATCAGGAGATTTTCCCAGTCAATAAACAAATGGCTAAAGAAACAACTGTCTGTTTCCTTTAAACAAGTAGATAAGCATCCCAAAAGAGCACAACGATTTGTCATCCATATTACTGGGTGTACTTTATCATATTTGTAGAGAACTAACGTGGATTGCAAGTTCCTTTAACTTTCTCCTTACAAGCTGCAATTGCTGCGCACATCTCCTAAGCCCCGCCCACTCAGGAACAGTAAACACTGAAAATAACCCAATCAGAGACCAGTAAAATGAAGATGAGCAGGTTTCTAGTGCAAACAAGTGAGGGTGTATGAACCCATGTAAATTTTAGTACCTTAAAACTTAAAACCTTTTGCAGTCTGTATTTCTATATGCATATGAATAAAATCCCATCTGGGCTACATACACCAAGCAAGATTGTGGCTGAACTTGGCAACCAGTGATCACTGTGCATTTTCACTGTATGGAAAAGATCAACTTTTTGCTATAATGCATTTTGTGTTCCACAGTTTGTGAGTACGGTTAATAAACTGAGGGGACGGATTGCAAAACCGTCGCCACGGATTGTTTTTTTTCTCCTACAGGTGACTTCCCGGGCTCCGTAGTTAGCAGTTAATAATCAATTGATTTCTCAAGTCACATGTGCTTACTTCACAAGCCTGCTGCTTATGTGCATAAATTCCCTTCATATGCTGGTGGAATTCGCAAGTTTTGAAGGACAGTTAAAGCTGAAATATTTGCTGGATTTGTGGCTTGTTTACCTTTAAGCGAGCTAATACGCTGCAGATTGAAAACACAAAGCTGACATCAAGAGAGAAAATCCAGCATGGCTTTTGATCTGGACTACTTTAGGGGGAGGAGGGACTCTAAGACACTCAACCCCTGCCCACTCTAGAGTCCCAGCCAATGAGAGCAGGTCTGGAGAAGAGAGTGTGTGTGTGTGAGAGAGAGAGAGCGGAGAGGAGGTGGTAGAGTGGCAGTCTTTGCTTGTGTGTAGGGAGCGGTCAGTCTCTCACGCTGCTGCAGTCTGCGAGCATCCTCAAGAGTGAGAATCTCTTTTTATTCTCTCTTTCATTCATACATTCTTTCATTTTTCCTTTATTCCATCCTGTCTACCAGTCCCCTCACCTTTTTTAGCTTCTCTGCTGTTGCTGATTCGTTTCTGTTCAAGTGAGAGTGTATTTGCAAGCACACGTGTGTGTATGTGAGTGTGTATTGCATGTTTAGGGGGGTCTGTAGCATTCAATTTGATTTATTTATGTTATACTTTAGAAAAGTGAAATTTATGTTGGAACTGTGCATGATATTGTTATTTTGGTATTGTGTTTCCTTAAGTGACAACTTCCCTCTTGAATAGTTCTCAATGCATTAACTTTTTTTCAATCTTTATTTAGAAAAGAATGTCAAATATTTCTAATGATGTTCCCAAAAAACATCTCCTGAAGGTTTGTGTGCTCAGCAGTCTTTTTTTCATTTGAGTGGATTTGTTCGGGATGAGTGCATCCCTCACTGCAGGATTGTTTTGGGTTCTCTACTTTATCCTCTGTCTGAGCTTTGCACCTCTCTGAGACTTTTTAATCTGTTTCTCTTTCTTTCTTTCTATCTATCTATCTGTCTATCTTTCTTTCTTTTTCTCTGGAGAAGAAACATCTCTTTGTTTCGTTTTTATTCTTTGCGGTTTCTCTGTCTTTTCAAATAACATTGAGGCCATTAGAGAAAGAGGTAGAGCTTAGTTTCCAGAGGTGGGAGTGATTTGTATAACGCCTGCATATTTCATTGGGAGGAAATGCAGATATATTTTGTGAGTCAGGTCTTTTTTTATGCTTTTACTGCACATCTCTAATTGTATTGTCATCATAATTGTGCTCTTCCTCTCTCAGCCTGCAGTCTAATGACAAAATTGACTTGTCATTTGACCTTTGAGTTCCTGCAAGGACAGACGGGGCTCTCAATCAGCCTTATTGCATGTAGACCCTTTGATGACCCTCATCAGAAGCTGCTCAAACCATCTAGTTGATGAGTTGTTTAGTTATTTGCATAAGGTATTTTTAGACCAATTAAATGTGTTAAAACAAAATGAAAGAAACTGAATAAAAAAGCTACCAGAAAAGGATCCAAATCAGCTGTAACATGTTACTCAGGTGTGGTAGGTGCTCTGTTGGGGCTGCTGTGCTGGTTTGGGTGGTCTAATGGTGTTCAGGCTGGGCTTTGGGGCATTGCTGAGTGCTCAGGTTTAGCACACGGTGTGTGTGTTCATTGGTCAGCATCCACAGCAGATGTAGTTCTCTGCTGAAACAGGGCTGAGGTGTGCAGCACCCTCAACAAACTGCCAAGCCATGCACTAGATTACATGCTGAAAGAGCATGAATCCTGTTTTAGGAGGGCAAATCTGTTTTTTTTATCATCCTGAAAAATACACTACAATGTTACACTACAATACACAAAAGAAAGCCAATAAAACAAATATTATTGGACTATGTTTTACAGGAAAATACTATTTTGGTCTTTGTACTTTAAAATTTGATGTTTAATTCTCTGTTATTTGCAGTTTCTTTGTAATTAATTGTGAAATTTCTGGGTGAAAATAGTTTCTACACCAATTCTTTTTTAGTGGGGTTAGTAAGGTTTTTTTAATGCTTTAAAAAGTCTGTTATGCTCATGGGAATCAAGAATATAGTAAAAATACAAATATTGTGAGACATTATTACAATTTTAAATAACTTTTATATTTTAATATATTTTAAAATGTAATTTATTCCTGTGATGGAAATGAATTTTCAGCAGCCATTATTCCATTCAGAAATCATTCTATTAAGCTGATTTGGTGTTCAAGAACCATATTATTATTATTATTATTAATTTAGAAAACATTTGGACAGTTCTGTTTTTGCAGAGGTTTTATGAATCAGATGTAGTTAAAACTATCATCATATTTTTTTTTAAGTATACGGGATGTTATTATAGCTGTGAAATGGGATCTTTGTTTTACTTTTTGTTTTTGTTTTTATACATTTAGAATTTTTTTTTTTTTTTTTGGGGAGTATG